TTCTTAAGACTGCTACACACGGTATTATTTTGCAACATGGATAATCTGCCGACTCTGCGTCACAAAAAGATTTAAAAACTTGAAGTTCGGCTTACAGAGGTTATACTGTTAAAGTTCTAATAAAGAATATTTATAATTTTACTTAATTTTTAAATTGGATCTGAATATAATTTACATGATGAAGATAAGGTGATTTTATATTATTTAAGGCATTCTAGACTCCTATAAGAATACTTTCTAGAATCATTCTTACCATCAGATGAACCGTCTGCTCGTCTGCCCCCTCTATCATAAAAAAAAAGCAATGAAGGCTTGCTTAATGAGTTTTATAACACGTAAAAAGAATTGTGACCTACATATTTTCATATAGTAGAAATACCAATCATCGCTTTTTTTATGGTGTAGGGGGGAGGGGGGGCAAAGTGAGTATGGTAGTACTACCGCTGCCCATGGACACGTAACTCTAACCTGATTCACTCAGTGAAAAGCAATGTAATAACTGCTTAACACTGTTTTTTGTGAGGCTGTGGTATCACTCCGGTCAAGCCTGGCCCAAATGTGCCGAAACATGGCTCCTCTCTCTCTTTAGACCCGACAAAAGGTCCTGCATTTCTCACGTCTAAAGAGAGAAAGATCGTCCCGTCTAGACCTCCTTTTTTTTTCCCGTGCGGAAATCCCCTCGGATACCACCTATCGGTGGCATGTCGGACTCGAACCGACTAAAACCGCAAGTTATCTCATTGTACTAATAGCCGGGGAACCAGGTATACCCTAGAAAGGAAGTCCCTGGAGAAAGGAAGTTCCTGGCCCGTCTAGACCTCCTATCTAAGAAGGTCGTGATGATGATGATTCATTTTTCATTTATTCTTTTTTGTAGATACACACCAGTCCTGTTAAATTAAATGTTAAATTAGGAGAAGTAAAACGGGAGGGAGTAACGATACCGTAAGTATCGGATGGAGAAGCAAGACTAAGACTAATGGCTCTCGAAAATGTCGTAGTCGCATAAGTATATTCATCCTGTGACGTTTCAATATTATTTGAAAACATAGGTCTGTTAGACACAATACCTGAAGGCCAATTCGCGTAATAAAAGTTCGGTCACAATCCAGTTCCGATCAACTCTCGATCTCGCAACTGCCATAAAAGGTATTTTCGTAGTAAAATAGTAAAGTATTACTAAGACTAGCAGATTACCGATTCAATTTTCGTTTATAATACGATATAATCACATTATATACAACGTTGGATGTTTAACACTTTACTCCGAAAATAATAGCATCATAACACACAGGCTACTTTTTACCCTAGAAAATATTCTGTGTGACAAAAGGCAAAAAGTTAATGAAACATTTTATAGTCAGGCAGTTTAGGGGTAGAGGGTAAGCGAAAGCGTGAAACGTTCCTTTTGCACACAATAACGCTCTTATTCTTACAATTATTCTCTCCAGGTAAAACATCAAACGGGATACAATAGGGTCACATAACATTCCTTTATACAGATTTTCTTAAGAACTTTCGTATGTTTACGACAAATGTTTCTAAAAGAGTACATTTTAGTTCAGAAATGTTTGAAATAAATTGCTACCGTTTTTTCCTCCATTTTATTCCTCTGGAAATCCATTGACGGATTTAATTTGACCTCGGGAGATTTGAAATTAGTAAATGGCGCCAGAATGAGTTAAACGGTTTACTTTACTGGTGAAGTTGTGATTTTTCACTGCTGGAATATCTTCGTCAGGTCATAATTTCTGTCAAACCTTTAATGTAATTAATGATACACTTTTTGATAATTATTTAAGAGTTGTATATGAAATGAAAGTACAATACAATTTTATTTACATTATTCGAAATATCCTCCCCCATATTGAATACCTGCCCTTAATCGATGGGCATGGGTGAATCGAACCATAAGCGGTGGGTGATCGAGGTGAATGGGCAAACGGTGCCAGTATCACACTAATATTATAAAGGTTAAATTTTGTGAGTGGCTGTGTTTGTATGTTTTCGAGATATCGAGCGAAGTCCAGTTCCAACCAATCTGTGGAATGGGTTATCGTCTGTAGTATTTCCGGACCGATACGACTTTCAAACCTCCAAGAAAAAAGCGTACTCCTTCCTAAAAGGCCAGCAACGCGTTTGTGACTCCTGAGTTGCAGACATTCATGGGCGGCGATTGTCACTTTCCATCAGGTGATCCGTGTGCTCGTCTGCACCCTCTAACATAAAAAAAATATGTTTGTTACTTCTTCACGCTCACACGGCTGAACCAATTTTGATAAAATACTTTAAACTTGCTGACACCCTGGATTAACACATAGGCTACTTTTTATCGCAAAAAAACATTGTTGTGTGGGATGAGCCAGGAGTTGAGAAATATATTTAATAAACCGCGGGTAACACCACATTGTGCAGCTAGTTGTTTATAATAATTTCAAACTCAACACAAAGCCATTACAACCAACCATAGCTTGGTAAATACACATACCCTCGCCTGTATCTCCGAAGGAGATTGCAAAAAGTGGTATTAGACACTCAAGTTTTACCAACTACAATTTGGCCTTACTCACGTTATAAGAAGCAAGCTTATTACCGTTAACGAGGCACTTTAGGAAATTAAGGATACATTAGATTATGTAATTAATGGATTAGTGTTGTAAGAGCCGACCAAGAGAGCAAACTCCGCAGGACATCAAAATAACACTACGGTTTGTTACTATCAAACTATATACTGAAGATCAAAGCAGTAAAGCCGCGAATTCAACGAAATCGCGTGCGTAAATAAAAGAACTTAGCTCTTTAGATGGGGCTATGCAGAACCACGGGCAAAAGAGTGTTAAAATAAGACCTGGGACTACAAGCTTATTGTAAAAAGACCGGACATTTTTTGAACGAGCGTTTGAAAATAATAAGGCTGGAAAGATTGTGAGCTTTGTTACGACGGTACGCGGAAAAAACAATACCATCCCTGACAAGCGGGATGCTTAAAAATTTATAAATTTTTCTAGTCAAAGCAAGTAATTTTATACTTCCAATAAAATAAGTGGATTTTACTCGCGGCCCTGATAACCTTTTATCTATTTGTAGTGTTCAATTTCTACTTTATAGTCTAATAAATTCCTTTGTCTCACGTACTAAATGAATTGTCTGAGGCAACTGGGATATTTGTTCTAAATACAATACTATCAACTCGGTATTAAGTAACAATTTTGTACGGTGATGACACAGAAGCTGTGAAGTAACACTGTGTTTTGTTACGTATTTGTGACAATAACTATTGGATCTCTTTCATATGCACTTCTGTGTATCTTTCTCTACTTTACCAGAAGTGTTACTGCAGAATCATTTATAATCATTATCATCATCATTATCAATAGCCTTTATTAGTCCACTGCTGCACATAGGACTCTCATTGGAAAGGAAGTTTTGTCCTACTATACCAGGCTGGCAAGGCTGGTTGGTATAGGATTTATTTCAAGGTTTCCCTCTCTTTGCAGTGCTGTTGTCCTGCGTAGTTTGCTCTCACTGATAGTTGTAGCTAAAAAAATGTATAAACTGTAACCCATGTATGTATAACAAATAAATAATTTGATTTGAAGAAGTGACATAGACAAATTAAACACATGTTGTCATGTAATCCTGTCTGTTAAGCCAGGAGATCATGAGTTCAATTCTTACTTAGGACAAATAATTACGTAATGTGCAAGATCAATTGTTCTTTGTTTGGATGCAACTTATCTATAGTATGTAAGTGTATAGAAATATATAAATCTTTTTATCAGCAGTCTAGTTACCATAGTAGTGCCTAGTTTGGGATCAGACTGCCGTGTGAGAAATGTGTAAAGTTTTTATCTATATGTATCTGTAAATGCGAAAGTGTGTCTGTATGTCTGTTACCCTCTACACGCTTCAACTGATGAATCGATTTAGATAATAAATAATATACCTCACACATTTCACACACGGCTGTCTGATCCCAAACTAGGCAGAGCCTGTGCTATGGTGACCGGACTGCTGATAAACATACTTATATATTTTTAAATAAATACATATTATAGATAAATTACACCCAGACACAGAACAAATGATCATGTTCATCACACCATATTTGTCCTGGGTGGGAATCGAACCCACGACCTCCGGCTTAGCAGTCAGGGGCACTAACCACTCGACCAACAGGCCCGTCAGATGAATTTTCGTATTAAGGAAAGATAGCTTTTATCCCATAATCATCCTTTAAGAGCGTAAAAAGGAAGTGAAAGTTTGTATGGAGAATCAATAACCGTTGAACCGATTTTGATAAACTTTGGTATACAGATTATTTAAGTTGTGGGAAAGGACATACACTACTACTACGCGGGGAAAAACTAGTATTTAATATTCGATTTTTCTTATCTCATCATCGTCATTAAACTAAAAAGATATTTAAACATAAAATGTTACATGAAACAGAATAAGTTGTGATTCATGTTCAATATTGAGGTGATATTGCCTGTGTAGTATGACAAAGCGTGATCTCATCTTACGGATTAATGAATTATCTCATCGCAATAAGAACTTTAGAAACAGGTCTATTTAAGAAAATACTCATATTTTTTTAGAAAACTATATTCATAAATGTTTTTGTTTTGGTTTGAAATCTACAATGATTGCGGGTAATGTAAGGGCATAGGATATCATCGATAAGATTTATTATGGAGCATAACAATGGCGAAATAATGATCGATTGATTAGCATAGTAATGATGTAACGAGTACAAATTATCTCAGAGTAAAAACCAGTATATTGTTTAGTGAAGTACTTTCTTTCTTTGATGAAAAAAAACAACTTACCATCGCCTAAAGCATTGGTTAACGAAATTGCTACTAATCCCTACCTCACGCCTTCTACTGTAGCTCCTGTACACCAGGATCAACAGCAGTGACCCTCGAACAAGCCGAGTACTGACTAAATATTATGCACGAACTGACAGATTTTTATGTAAACATTAAATTCCGTAGGAACCAGTGCCCCACCATCGCCAGCCCGTGAACACGATCAAGAAGTCTTATCCAGACTAAGCAGCACTGCTGAGAAACAACGCGCCACATTACGTAACCAAGAGTCACAGCTGCAAGAGAAGCAGCAGCTTATTGATAGCGTGAGTATTTATGTCAGTTCTAACAAGTAGGTTCTGTGGACAAGCCATCAGGCTGCCAAGAAATTATCTATTATGACCATAGTTCCGTACAAACATTTGTTTTTAATAGGAATATGAGAGAAACTCAAGTCCAATAAAAGCCACTTTTAATTTAAAAATATAATGGTTCCATGAAATTGAGTTTAGGCGTGTTTCATTACCCTATAAGTTCAAGAACGCCTGACCTATTATGGAATTAATGACCTAGTTTTTTCCTAATTAATAGAAAAAAAAAGTTTTGGATGTCTCTAATTATATTTTTTTCCTAAGCCAGTTAATAAGAAAGTCATAGTGTTCTAACAATTGTTTCAGCTTTTGTTACAAAGCTTTCAATTATTTTCAAATTATCATCCTGCTCTAATTAAAATAATGTGGTAATGATCAGATAACACTAAGAAAGAATATCCTTCATAACACCTTCTTTTTTTTTAATCTAATAAAATTATCATATTAACATTCAAGTGTATCGCTTTGACTTGACTGTTATCCTTATAAAGTACGCCTTAAAATTGAATCATGAAACGTCAAACATTATATGCGCAAACGCAATAACGTCTCACAAATTCGAAAGTGACAATTTAAATGAGTTCTAATGCAAAATGTAAATGATCAATACTAGAAACCTTGTAGAAATTACAATAAGCGATAAGGCTGTCCATTGTACTGTTAATGTATATGTTTCAGCATAAGATACTTTGTACTACAGATTGTTATTGACGAAAATACAATAACGAGCAGAAACATTTGAAACACTGTTTATATTTATTTATCTAAGTTTGAATATTATTATTTGTGCTAAATAAAATTTTGTTTACGTATATATTTCGGGAATGACTTAACGGGGCCGTTTATCATGTCCCAGAGCGTCCTATCGCATCAATAGCAATTTTTTTTCGAGGATATTTCATTAATTTGAGAATATGTTTTTTAAAGGAAGTTATTCCGAACCATACACATTTTTTTCATCCGTAAAGATAGTATATAAATCTGTTGGAACATTGAATTGAAACTAATTAGAATTATTTAAGGTTCCAAATATTATTTTGGACAGATTTATAAAATATGTCGTATTAATTAATTCGAATAGGAAAATTGGGTATACGAGTGAGTTCTCTTTAATTTTTCTGTCCAAGTTCCTTCTATTTGTCCGTGATAAGTTATCTTCCAAACAAAGCCACTACTGTAGTTGATATAATCTAACATTAACGTTATAGAAGAAAGGGCCCATCCTCCACCCCTTATTCTAGGGGGAGGGCGCATCCATGGGCGGTGGTAGTCACCTACCATCAGGTGACCCATGTACTCGTTTGCCCCCTAATCCGTAAAAAAGCTTCAAAATTGAGTTTCGAGTCCTTAAAGCTTTAATTTACTTATTAAAATTTTACATGTCATGTCAACAGTCTGAACACTGAATAAAATTTAATTTATTAAGAGTTGTGGTATGAAGTAAATTAATGGAGACAAAGGTTTTTAAACTCATTACATATCAGAAAGGGTAGAATGAAATTATCCATTAAAAAAGAAGGTTTTACCAGCGTTCTCGCTTCGTTTGCGTAATTATCCATTATGTTATAATATTTGCTAAGCTTGGTTATAATTTATTTCCATGCCAAATTTAAGCCGTTCTGTAGTGATTGTACAATAAACATCCATACATGTGTCCATCCATACATCCATATGTCCTTTTGGGTATACTGAAGGAAAAATACTTTTTACTGTGTGGTTTGCAATATTCTACTATAACTACGTATAGTCCGTGTAGTGACGGATTAAGAATACGGAATGTCACTACCTCAAGTCATCCCGTAGGTGTCGTAAGAGCCGACTAAGGGCGCAAAACAACGCAGGACACCAGCACTGCAAAAAGAAGTAAAACTTGACACAAACCTTATATCAACCCGTCTGGCCAGCGTGGTATAGTAGGCCAAAACCTCCTTTCTAAGGATAGGCCTATGTCCAGCAGTGGACTGTTAAAGGCTGTTGATGTGATATGTACTTAGAAGAGTTTAGAGTAGCTAACCTCGCTTCTCGTCTAGAGTGACGAGTGTCAAAAATTAGTGATTTGACTATTGTCTCTCGTTACCAAGTCATAAGTCTCCTTATGTTTTATATACATATCCACCGCTCAAATAACGTCCCCATTTAAAAAATCTGGCCGTTCAAAGTTTATTTCACGTTTATGTTTCACTTTTCGGGTCTTATTTAAAAAAAACAGTACAGTTTTGTTTTGACGTGCGATAAGTCGACAGAATTGGCATTACTAATATAGTGAGTCACATATACTAGCAATGAGGTGCTTGCATAAACTTTCCACTAAGTTAAAGTCCGGACTTCCGGACGTTTTGCCGGAACCGCACCGGTCCTTACCAGTTTTACACTGTCATTGAATTTTATTATTTTATTTTACGTCAACTAGCAGAATGTATAGAGTACTAGCTGCTGTGTTACCTGCTGATGTTGTTGTACCTTGCTCATTCCACTTGATTACTAAATTTTTTCGCCTTGTGCTATTCCAGATTATTATCTACCTCAGTGCCAAATTTCATCCAGTTCCGTTCAACCGTTTTGTGTGAAATTGTAACAAACATCCATCCAAACTTTCGCCTTTTATCCGTTTTTCTTTTAATGTCTACTATACCTCCCGCTAAGCTAAATTGCTTGTGTTAGGAGTGGGTTCACGTCAGTAGTGTACTGATCAGGATTCGAGCCCACGCCCTTAACCACTAGGCTACCGCCGCTTAGTATAGAGAATAATGTATATTTGTAATAAAACTGTATAAAGGTACTTTATACCTAACTAAGCCCTCTGAGAAATACTTTTAACGAAAACTTGTGAAGTTAATTTGGTTTTATGTATCCCAAAAGGCGTTGTTACAGAATTATATAAATAAAATACAACAGGTATATAATCGTGTTTCAGACTTTTACTGTTAGTCGCTTTTAGTCAGAAATCTCTGATTAATCTTTTTTTGCGTGATAATTTGTCGAACAAGTGGGCCATGTGATGTTGTCGAGCCATCGAATCAAGTTCTGCCTCGAGTACTAAGTATTTATTCTGGAGTTAATATAAACTCGAGTGATGCTATCCAGTATTTATAAGTACTCGAATGTGATTTTCGATTATTACACCTTTTGTTCTGTCGTTTAGAAGATAATTGTATAATACGTATAATAAATTGCTGCATAGCTGTTTTTTTTAATGATTTTTCGACACTGCTGCTCATTGGTTACCGGGAACCAATAAAAAACTAACTACTCGTAAAATGTAAAAGTACCATTCATTTTCTAAGTAAACCAGTTCATGTTCCAATAGTCTTGTTTCAAATTTGGCCATTTGATTTCCTTAGCCAAGTGGCTTTCCCAATTACAGGATGGACAAATGCGTACCCGGGCTTCTTCGAGCTACTGCAGCCTTATTGCCGTTCCTTAGCCAGGAGCCAGTTTTCCCAGTTGCAATTCCACTTCTTTGTTAGGTTGATTTCAGGAAGGCGATCAGTCATAAAAACAACCTGCCTTAATAAACTTTTCGCAATGATGGACGTGACGCATTAAGAGTACGAAATGTCACCACCCCTATTCATCCCGTGGGTGTCATAAAAGCCGACTAAAGGAGTAAACTACGCAGGACAACAGCACTGCAAATAAAGGCAAACTTGACACAATCCCTATACTAACCAGCCAGTGTGGTATAATAGGCTAAAATCTCCTTACTAAGAAGAGGCCTATGTCCAGCAATGTTGTTAAGGTTACGGCTTCGGGCTAATAATAAACGGATTAGAGCGAACTCTCAAGCGTTGCCAACTAAGGCCCAAAGATTATGTGTGAACATTTAATTATGCTTAACAAATGATGATGATGAAATTGCGCCGGTGTCAAAAATATTGGAAATAAGAAGGAGCAGGAAAATGATGATTCTGATTGACGGGCTGTTGGTCTAGTGGTGGTTAATGATCCTGACTATTGAGTTTCGATTCCCACTGAGGTCAAATTTTGTGTGATGAGCTCGATCATTTGTTCTGTGTCTGAGTTTAATTTATCTGTAGCCTTTTGCTCGCGGCTCCGCCCGCGCGTTTCTTGGTTATTTCGGTAGCCTATGTCCTTTCTTAAGAAACAAACTATCTCGATACCACATTTTATCTGAATCAGCTTAACGATTATCGATTCCTCACACAAACTTCCACCCCCTTTTCACCCCCTTAAAGGATGACTTCATAAATAAATACTATCCTATGTTCCCTCCCGGGAATTAAACTATTTCTATACCAAATTACATCTAAATCGGTTGAGCGGTTTAAGTGTAAAGAGGCAACAGACTGACAGACAGACAGAAACACTTTGGCATTTATAATATTGGTAATGATATGTATGTATTTAGAGATATTTAAGTATGTTTATCAGTCTGGTTACCATAGCACAGGCTCCGCCTAATTTAGAATTAGACGGCAGTAAATGAGATGAGTCAAAAATCTAATTCCGAATTCAGGCGAACTCAGTCAAAGGCACAAATCAAAGCGTTAACCCATAAAAGGTCGGAATCAGACGAAACTGTAAACAGTATCTATTTTATTACAACCTTATGTCTACAGTGTAAAGACTGAAATAGTGTTGAAGCTATAAAATAGCGACAATGTGTTTTATGTGGCCGATAACAAAAGTGCTCGGAATATTTAAACAGTGTTTATGGGGTGTAATTGAATGCTGAAACCTTATCGTTACGTTATTGATTGGCTCAACGCAAGGAAAAACCACCTAATTTCTTCCCAAGGGACTCGCAATGCGTAATAAAGAGGATATTTATACTTTCTCCATTCGTTTGTTTTAATCATTCTTTGAATCTTATTTTAGTAATAGGCAAAGGAATATGCCGGCGCAATCACAGAAATATCTAGTGTTCTTTAAAAAAATAACGAAATAAAACTTACCTTTAACCATTACTACCAGGTTCGAATGCAATAAATACA